ATATATATATGCTAGTTAATTTTTTATAACTTTCATAATATTGTCATTTATCCTTGGAGGTGATGCATTGCAATTCCTTCCTGATATAGGAGTCTCTCTTTCCATGCATGCTACGGATTGTCACTCCTGTATTTAAATAAAAAACTATGTTAGAAGATTTAGTTAGGAAAAAAACATTTAAATATTACATGGAAAAGAGGTCTGAATGTTAAGCCGCTCTATAATTCTTTTTTGGTCCTAATCCTGGTTTTTGTTTCCACATAGTGAATGTAACTTTCTCGTGTCCTCTTATTCCAATCCTCCGTGGAATAACTATTTTTGAACTTTTAACTGTTCCTTGTGTATTATCATTTCGAGATCCATCCCTTTCCAGATCCCTCCATCAGACACATTTCATTTGGCATAGAAGGCAGCACGGATACAGTGCTCAAAATGTGGTCCAGCCAGCACCAAGCAGCCTAAAAGTACGATGGGAAAATTTCCTCCTTTGATTTGGATTTTACATTGCTATCACCAAACCTAAATTAATTTGTATCATTAAGTCCTACTCTTATCTTGCAGTCTGCTACACTCTCAAGATCTTTTCTAAATGAGCTACAGTGCAGACAGCCTAGGATAGTGAAAGAGCATGGGCTCTGGGGTCAGGCCACCCTGGGCTCAAATCTCAGCCATGTTATTTGAAGTCCAGTGAGTTATCACTTACTTAGCCTGTCCTAGCATTTCTGATCAACTGAGGCAATTCTTATGAAGGTACTTAGCACAATGTGTGCACTCAGTAAATATTCCTCCCCCTTTTACTTCTCCCAGATTTTACATTTATCCCTGTTAAAATTACTGAATTTCATCTTGGGTTTGGCTCAGATGTCCACATACTAGGAATAGTTTAAAATCTCTATCTAACCCTTTGTTCATGAGTAATTTATGTTAAATCAACAGTATTTGTTGTATATGTACACTATGCAAAGCAATGACCTAGCTGCTACAGGTAGTGGAAAGGGTAGAAGGTAGTTTGTGGCTATAAATATGAATAAAGCATGGTCCCTATCCTCAAACAATTTAGAGGCTACTGGAGGGCAGCTCTAGGAAAAGAACAGACATGGTGTACATAGAACAGAGATATGTGCATAGTTGTGTAGGAACATGCAGGAGGAAGTCATTATATGAATTTGAATAGAGTGGGTGGAGTGGAGGAGGTTGTTTTCAAACTGATCCTTGAGTAATGAATAATAAGTGGGGAGAAGGTTCCATACTGGAGGGAGCCCGAGCACAGAAACAGAAGTTAAAAGTCTCATCAAGGAATGGTAATAAATCAGATATTGTTCCATCATAGGCTGGGTGGAGGGAAGGGTGTGGTGCCATCTTTAAATCGATTACCAGGCTTTAATTAGCCTGGGTCACAAGGTTTTAAGAGATGAACTTAAGTCTTTCGTCTCTAGGGTTAGAGAGTGATTTCCCTACGATACTTAAAATTAACTTTTGGTTTCTAAAAATACCAGTGGTGTCGAGTGCAAATGACCCCTAGCTGCTCTATGCAAACTTTGTTTTTGATTTTCTGATGTTTTCATTCTCATAAATCTCTCAAGAAATTAGTTTAATTTAAAATGTTATTTAAAAAATTGTCTTTTAATTGGCCAGTGGGAGCCGTTTTAGGCTGGCTCCTTATTTCCTTTGAAACAATCATATCATTTTTTTTATGCACTTCCTCACTTTGTAGCACAACAAGATTTTCCAGGCTCTTCTTTTCCCTTCCCTGCTCCAGTCCTAAAATAAGCTATGGCTGGCGGGACCTGGTATTCAGAAACCAAGATCTAGATGCTAGGGGTGTTCATTTTTACTTTACTTTTAACATTTTACTTTTATAATAAATGTCCTATTATATATGCATTATATAATATACAAACATGTATTTATATATGCATTTATAAATTACATATGCATATATTATATGTACATATTACATTACTAATAATACCTATATATTATTTTTTAATAATTAAGATTTTATTCTAATAGCTATAATTACAGTGCTTGTTTGTTGAAATGAAAACTGAAAACAAGTATGCAAAATATTTGATTACTAATAGTATATCGAAAGCAGTAAGAGGTTCCACCACACCAAATAAACCAGTTCTGAGGCTTTCCCCAAGATAAAGTTTAACAGCTCCAGTTTCTTCAGTGTTTATCAAAACACAAAAGAAAAAAACTAAAAGTCATTATTTTCGATGGCAGATCTGACCGTTGCAGGCTGAGGGAGTAAAAGCACATGCAGACAGGTGCTCCGGAGGGGCTGTGGCTCTAGGACGACTGGCCCTGCCTGCCCTCTCGCTTGCTGGTTGTGTTCCTTCTGATGAGACCTCAGACAGCCCAGAGACCAGTGCACAAGGAGGACAGGGCACCCGCTCCAGCCGGGGGTTTCTAACCAAAGCACTCCACGCTGACCCAAGGGCATATTTATTTATATATGAAGCGTATATATTTATATATGTGTATGTAAATTACATATGCATAGATTATTATATCTAAGTATGTAATTTATTATATATGTATTCATATACATGCATGTACATCACACATACATACATATAATCATGAGTTCATACTGATAATTCTAATTTTAATCTAACACCGCAGAGTTCTTCCTCAACTTCCCTCTTTCCCTGTATATATCTTTCTCCTCCCACAGTGAGAAGTGTATCTCCTAAAAAACAAGAAAATTACAGACCAATGTTCCTGATGGATACAGATGCAAAAATTCTCAACAAAATATTAGCAAACAGAATTCAACAGCACATTAAAAGGATCATACACTATGATCAAGTGAGATTTATCCCTGGGATGCAAGGATGCAAATCAGTAAATGTGATACACCACATTAATAGAATGAAAGATACAAATCATATGATCATCTCAATAGATACAGAAAAAGTGCTTGATAAAATAAACATTCTTTCATGATAAAAATGCTCAACAAATTGGATATAGAGAGAACATACATCAACACAATAAAGGCCGTATATGACAAACCCATAGCAAACATCATAATCAACAACGAAAGGTTGAAAAATTTTCCCATAATATCAGGAACAAAAGAAGGATGCCCACTCTCAACACTCCTATTCAACATAGTAGTGGAGGTCCTAGCCAGAGTCATCAGGCAAGAAAAAGACATAAAAAGCATCCAAATTGGAAAGGAAGAAGTAAAATTGTCTTTGTTTGCAGATGACATAATCCTGTACAGAGCAAATCCTAAAGACTCCATCAAAAAACTATCAGACTAATCAACAAATTCAATAAAACTGTAGGATACAAAATCAACAAATAGAAATTAGTTGTGTTTCTATACACTAACAGCAGAGCATCTGAAAAAGAAATACAGAAAACTATCCCATTCACAATAGCATCCAAAACAATAAAATACTTAGGAATAAATTTTCCCAAGAGACTGAAAGATCTATGCACTAAAAAGTGTATGACTTTGATGAAAGAAATTGAAGAAGACACAACAAATGGAAAGATATCTATGAAACATAGATTCACCCTGAACGGTAGTACACAAGGTCTCCAAAGAAGAGAATATAGAGTGGCCAGGCCTAAATCTTGGCAAGAAAATTAGTGGAGAAAAAGGAGATAAAGAAGGATACTTTAGGACAATAGGAGATGAACCAGAAGAGTGACACATCATGAAATCAACTACAGAGAGAGGAAGATGAAGGAGATGAGGGGGCCAAGGCAGGGCTGGAATGAGAAAAGGAGTGGCAGTGCATCCCACACACATGTCCACACCCTTTGTCACTTCTTTTTCTGCTGGGCTCCAGAGCCAGGCCAATGCACAGCCATAGATCTGATGAAGCCCTCCCTGTTCCGTGTATGCTGAGTTTCCTGTTCCTCCATCCCGGAATAGAAAATGAACATTATGAGAAAAAACAAAAAAACTCTAAAATTCTTCCCAGGAAAAACAACCATTACCACAAAAACTTTTTCCCGTGAAAGAAATTCCCATGCTTAACAAGAATTAGATCCTTATTCACTCAGCTGTTAGACACTTTAAGCTCTTGGAAAAGACTGTTTAACTGCAAAATAAGTAATTTTTTTCTTGCTAAAATGAGTCAAAAGGACTATAGCAGATAAAACTTCTCACGTCATCTCCTTATCTGAAATTTGTTTCCCAATGACAATATCCACTCAGCTCCTATTTGGATGTGACTGTTAAACATTAAGGTGAATTTCGTTTCTTTTATGATTTCACAATTAGGGAACCTGAATTGTTTGTAATCTGCCTTGACCTTTCTTTCTTATGGACAGTCTGTAGGATACACAAGAATACACAAGGAATAATAGAAAAATAGGAGTCACAGTGCCACTTTATTATTACCTAAACCAGCTCCCAATGCCTCAACACAGGGCCTCTTGGGTAAAGTATCCTAGAGCACATAATTTTAACTTGAGCCCAAAGGGGAGCTGCCTATTTCCCCTTTTCATATAAATCTTAGGACCAGCAATCTCAGATGAGCCTGGAGGGTCAGAGAGGGAAAGATGGCTCTGCTGGCCCCTTTTGAAAGTACAAGATTAAGGGTTGAAGATTGAAGGTGAATGGGGGGAAGAAAAAGAGAGGAAACAAAAGACCAGCTGGAGTTGCCTTGAGCAGGCAGACCTGACTAGATCTGCTCCCATGTGAACACAGGGAGCACCAGGGAAGAGGGTGAGGTCTGGGTTCCTGCCTTTTAGGTGGAATAATAATCCATCCTACTAGCAAAACCTAGCCCAGTGAATATCATGGTCTCAGGATAGGCGGGATAAAATGAGCAGCTCATCCTCTCTCAGGAGAAAGCCAAAAAGGGGCATGGGTGGAGCTGACATGCCATGGAATGAGGATCAGTAACAGCCCCCTCCCCTATTGAAGCTATATACCTTTCCTATCAAAAGCCTTTTTGCTAGTTAGAAAAAATATCGCTCTTATGACAGGCTAGAGAGATTTATGGGAAATCAGAGATATAATCTATCTTGTCAAGTGCAAACATTTTGATTTAGCCTCACGTGGCGTGGGTATCTATATCAAAATAGAGACGACACTATCATTTGTTAGATATGTAACTAATTTTAGGATCCTTCCCTATACAATGTCTATGAGTAATGTCTAATTGGAGGGGCATCAAGAAAATGATATTATAAAATGCTTAGTGCTGTGCTCAGTGCTCTTTCATGTTTTAATCAGGAGCCATCTGAGTGAACTCTCATAGGTGAGGAACTGCAAAGAATGCTGCCCTTAATGAACATGCTCAGCATTTTAGAAAATAAATGTAGAACTAAAGTGACCTTGTAAATGGAAGAATTGATAGAAGAGGTTCACATAGGATAATTGCTACATAATACACCTGAGAAAAGAGACTTTGCAGAAGTTCAATAGGCAAAAGTTTGACAAAGTATGGGTTAGACAGGAAAGTATGACACAGTATGTGACAAGCTTGCTCTGAGTCTGCAATGAAGCCCTGTCTATGGTGTAAAAAGCAAGCATGACCTTTCATATATCCAAAAAAGAAAAAAAAAAAAAATTTGTGAGGTAGTCTAGCCATTGTCTTGGGGAAAAATCAGTCAGAACATTATTGGCATACATTTGACAAACTAATGAGGGTTGTAGAGGATGCAGAGAAGAGCTGCAAAGATTCTTTAATTGAATATCACACCTGAAAGAAACAATGAAAGAACAAGGTTTATTCTGTTTGCAAAAAATAAAGCAGAGGAGAAATTTAATAGTCATTCAGGAAAAAAGGCTGTCAGAGAATGGTGATAAGCAGTTCTCTTGCCCCACAGTTGACAAAAATCAAAGAAAATTGGCTTAAACCATGACAGCCCGAGAGAGATTTACAATCACCTCCCTAATCATCCAAACTTGAAAAAAATCACTCTATTCATAATGTGCAATTACCTCTTTGATTAACATACATATATATGCTAAATGCATGCCCTGGTCATACTGCAGTCATGAGTCATTTAATAATAGGGGTACGTTCTGAGAAATGCATCGTTAGGTGATTTTGTTGTTGTGCGAACACTGTAGAGTGTACCGAAAGGGAACAAAATTTGCAACCCCAAAGTGTGTCTCTTTAACATGAGGATTATTTTAGGCTGATTATTTTTAAGAAACAAAAGCGAAGTTTTTTTGTTACTTCCCCCTTAACTGCCTAAAAGAATTCTGATAAAAAAAACCTGTCTCAGGAAGCCAGCTATCACCTTAACATAACATGAACTAGGTGGTAGACAGGAAGGAACCTAGAAAAGCCTGTTTCTTGGGCTCCTCTCTGTGTTCTTCTGTATCTGTGGGGCCAAACAAATACTTGTTTTCCAAAGATTTGCTCCTTTTCACCTACTTGTGAATTACCTTCCTTCCCTTTGAGGACTCTGATCATCCCAACCCCCAACATCTTTTGTCTTTAGTAAAGATGGTATTCAAGGTGAAGGCTTCAGCCATTTTGGTGAGTTATTCAGTTTTCCTGGGTTTCTCCCGGGTATACATGTTATGTTTCTCCTCTGTATACATGTTATTAAAGTTTGGTTTTTCTCTTGTTAATCCATCTCAGGTCACTTTAATTCTTAGACCAGTCAGAAGAACCTAGAAGGGTAGAGGAAAATTTCCTCCTCCCCTACAGTACTTACACAAACCTAGAAGTTATAGTCTACTACACACTTAGGCTATATGGTACTAGTCTTATGGGGTCACAATTATATATGTGGTCTGTTGTTGACCAAAATGTCATTATGTAGCACATGATTGTATTCAAGTTGTTTTTTTTTTTAAGTCTAAGTCCTGTCATATAGTATTTAACCCAACACTACTTGCAATTAAGCCCTTAATATGGTCTTCAGATGTTGTAATAAACAATAAAGATTTTCCTCTCTTGTAGCTGGTGAATGTTGGTCAGGTGTGGAATCTCATTCCCCAAAGCAATTCATTCTGTTTTTAGCTTAAGAAACTTTAAGCTTCCTTGGATACTGATTTACAGAAAGAGGCCAAATAGAAAATTAGCTCCTATGTGAATGTGTCTGCTTTTACGATAAAGTATTTGGGGCTAGGGATTATTGTCATTTTTTTAAGTGGTCATAGTCTATTATGCAAATTAATCTTTCAGGATCTAAATTACACCAAAGTATAACAATATAAAATCCTTGTGTACTATAGACATTAATTTTTATTTATGATGTGTATATTACAACTCTAATGTATCTAATTTACAAAGTTATATATTTTGCTAATTTGAATGCTTTTTAAAGATGTGTTTGTGTAAGGATTCTTAAACAATACATGAGCTGTTCCAGGAGGGTCTTCCAGGTGATCTTGAAGAAGAGAATGGATTCTCATGATCTGCAATAGAGTTTAAGAAAAGATAGCACTTTGGTAGGGAAATGGAATGTAGAATGTTCTTTTTAGTTCTGTATTAT